GTATCGAGTGACCATACATGTCACTACAAGGTTCTGAACTCTTTATCCCAAAGTTTTATTTGTCTCTCCTTGAACCAGTACTACTCTGCTAGATTACAGTAGCTTTATAATAAATCATGATACTGCATGGAGTAGGCCTTCTCACTGTGTTCTTCTTCAAAATCATCTTTGCTATATTTTGTCCTTTGTATTTAAATATAAATTTCAGAATCAGTTTTCACATGCAAAGAAACCTAATAATTGCATTGAATGTATAGACCAATTTGAAGAAATTTGAGATCTTTATGTTTTCCAAATATTAACTAGAATATATCCATTTATTCATCTTATTATCTCTCAATAATATTTTATAGATTTCTTTGTAGAAGTCACAGACATCTTTCTTTAGATTTATTCTCAGTCATTTGATTTTTTAATGCAATTGTGAATTTCATTAAATGCCATATATGAAATTTTATTTTCTACTTCATTATATATTAAAATTGTTTTTATTTTTATGTCTAACAACTTTGCAAAATTTACTTATTAATTTTAGTAGTTTATAAATTATTTTGCATTTTATATATGTAAGATTATATCTGCTGCAAATAGTAACAGATGAATCTCTAGGTAACCATCAATCTGCTTCCTGTCTCTATAGATTTGCCTATACTGGACATTTCATATTAATAGTATTATATTATAACTAGTCTTTTGTAATTGGCTTCTTTCACTTAGCATAATGTTTCCAAGGATCATTTATGTTATAGAATGTATCTGTGTTTCATTATTTTTTATGGCTGAATAGTATTTCGTTCTACGAGAAAACCACAGTCACCAGTTAATGGACATCGAAATTGTTTCCACTGTTTGGTTATTCTAAATAATGCTGCTATACACATTTTATGGACATATATTTTCCTTTCTCTTGGGTTTTTTTTTTTTTTTTTTTTTTTTTTTGCCTTGATCGGTCTTCCCAGGGAAGATTGAAATTAATTTTTTTAGGAGCTGTTTTGTCTTTGTTGATCGATTCAATTATACTTTCAAGTTATTTTTATTGCTACCATTTCCTTTCTTTTACATTCTTTGAGTTTAATTTTCTTCTTGTTTGTCTTAAATCCTTTAGACAGAAACTTAGATAATTGATTTTCAACCATCTTTAGTTCTCATCTATGCCTTTTAGTCTTTAAATTTCTCTTTAGGTACAGTTTCGCCTGTATCTAAAAAGTTTTGGTATGTCATTGTGAATTCTTTGATCCAATGGTCATTTAGAAATGTATCATTTAATTCTCAACAATATTAGGGTGTTTAAGTTATCTTTTTATTAATGACTTCTACACTATTGTGGTCGGTGAAGGTGCTCTTTAAGATTTTAATTATTTGAAATCTGTTGAGATTTGCTTTACTGACTAGTGTATGTCAATTTGGATAAATATTCTTTGACTATTTAGTCAGCACTTGAAAAGAATGGATATTATCCAGATGCTGGGTGCAACGTTTATTATATGTGAATTAGTAATATTTGTTAATTATGTTTTTCAAATATTCTATAGCTTAATTTTTTGTCTGTGTGTTCTATCAACTACTAAGAAGTATTATTATTTTGTTTTATGCTTTCTATGATTTGAATTTATATTATTAGGTGCATAGAAATTTAAAATTATTATATCTTCCAGACAACATGTGGACTAGTATAATATTACACATTTTCTTATGGTTAGTGTTTATCTGGGTCATCTTTTCCCATCCTTTTGCATCCAATATTTCTGTAACCCAGTATTTAATGGTGTTTCTTATAAGCAGCATATAATTGCTTTAAAAATCATCTAGTCCAACCAAATTATTTTATAGGTGAGGACTATTGAGATCTAGAGAGGTGAAATGACTGACTTATGAGAATCACTCAAAGACTTAATGATAATATTCAGATAAATCCAGTTTTATGTTCTACATAAAACTACATCATGCATATTCTTAATCTTATAATATTCAATCTGTTACTCCAATTTATTATAATTCAATATAATTAAATTCTCTGAAATATTTGTTATAATTTTAGTAGGTTTTTTTTAAGGAAGAAAACAGTTGTTGATTTATACTGATATTTAAAAATAGAAACTATGTTCTATTTTTATAATCATTTATTCACCTATTTATTTTTATAATTGCTTTTTGTTCTTTTTCTTGTTATTATTCCAGAATGCATATGTTCTGTACTACTTGGCTATTGTGGGCCATTCTGTTTCGATTGCCACCTTGGTGATTTCACTGGGGATTTTCATGTATTTCAAGTAAGTACCCTCATAGTATCTGCTTTTTATTTTCTTCTTTAAGATACTGAAATAAATGGAAAACGCTGTAAAAGTGGGGGTGCCTTCTGCAAATCATAAAAGACATGGGAGTCATGAAGTAGCAAGAAAAAATAATATTAATTAAAATATGCTTTTAATCCTATTTTTAAGGAAAATGGAATAGATTCAAATTTTTCAAAATGCCCTCCTTCACAAAATAAAACTGTCCTCTGAGCCCATAAGTACACTGTGTTAACATGATTAAGGTTCCATTTACCATGGCTAAGGTTTCATGAAATAGCGAGAAGAGGATCCTCCTCTTTCATTTACCCCTACTCTAAAATACGGAGGCCATGGCCATGAGTTCAAGTGCACCTTGTCTAATTATGAGCTGTATCACAAGTGGATTTGGTCAGAAGAGAAGGGGGCTGGTGAGGCTATGATAGTGTTTACACAGAGAAGAAAGGTTAGTCTCCCTTCTGGCCTTGACTCACCCAGCCACGGCCACAGAGAATGTCTGGAAGATGGCCTGTCATCAAGTGTCAGTTTTTTGCTCTTGAGAACCTAGATTTGTTAAGTGCAAGTATCTTTTAAGACACTGAGAAACAAAATTTCAATGAGGGTTTCTATTCTGAGGCCGTGTCTATACTGTTGATTGCATTATCTATGTCAAAATGATTAAGTTGATATAGATATTGACTTCACAATAATGGAGAATTTAAAACATTGATTCTGTAGTTTCAGAATGACTTCATAATGTATGTGAGATAGTAATATATGTTAAATTTGGTCCTAAAAACATGTCTTACATTTAGCATAATTTTTTAAAACAAAGGCAGGAAGCACCACATTTTCCTTTCATGAGAATTCTAACTTCTGCACGACGTGAGGTTTTCGTCCACTAATACTTTTTTTGTTGTGGTGGTGGTGTTATATGAATGGTGAAGAAAAGCTCCTTCATAGGCCCAGACTACAGATGATCCTTCACATTTTAAATATGTGATATGTAATTAAATATACGGTAATTCATAAATAGAATAATAGAATTTTTGTTTGATTTTTGTTAAAATATTATAATGATAATACTAAAGAAAATTAAGCCAAGGGCGAACCATCTGTAAACCCACCTTTAACACAACTGTTATTTTTTTAATCCTTTTTAATCTTTGCCTGTATCTTATATCAAATTTCTATATTATATTATGTCTATATCTTATGTAGTCAAGATTCTTATATTGACCTAGCAACATAACTGAATTTTTTTGTTAAATGAGTAGCAAATAATAACTTAAATAGAGAATTAGCTCCTTCCATATATGGTTTAACAGGAGAAAGACATAAAGTGACAAGACATGATAGATTAATTACTGGAATTAGAATAAAAGAGTATTTTCAGTTACAATGATCAGAATACAGCAGAATAATCACATAGCATGATTAATCTTGAAATGTCTGTTCATTTTTCAACTGCACCTGACCATGGCAAACAAATATATCATCATGGCTCTCATACAACTTTGATTAAAAAGTCTGTCACTAAAAGTCTATTGTTTAAAATTTTTTAATATAACCTTAATAAAATTGGAATAAAAAGCCCCCAGATTTGTAATGGTGCAATTAATAAATGTATTTAAAACTTTAAAGATAAAAAATTTCAAAGGGGCATTTCTTAGTTCTTTATTTCCCTAGTCAGTTAAAAAAGTGATCAGGTGTGAGAGCCAAACCAGCAAAGAAAATAAGAATGTTCTAACAATCATTTCTACATCAAGCTACTGAAAATGGGTGTTCAAAAGGGGAGCACATGGGCAATATAAAATATTTCTCAACTTCAATGAGTCCCAAAACAAAATTAATCTGATCAGACTCTTGAGAGAACGTGGGGGGCAGATTGTCTAGGAAGCACCTGATTTTGTCTTATCTCTCAATACAAGAGCCTACCAAATAACAACTTAAATCTTGGGAGGACTAACAAGTCTTATTGATTTACAGTCTGAATATAATAATGGGAAGATATAACTTGAAATAGCTGGTTCTCCAGAGCACACACAAGAAGCAAATAGAATATGAAAAACATATGTCAAGATGCTAAATATTCAAGTCCACAGGAAGTCATATTTGGTTTTTATACTTGTTTTTAATCTTACCCTAAACCTACCCAAACTAAAAATATCTAGGACATCTGTTTTCTTAAAATTAAAGTATTTTCTGATTCATCAAATGTTTTCTTTACATTTGCATTTCAGACATACTCAAAGTAATTGTGAAAAATAAAAGATAATTCTGATCTAACCTTGGATTTTATCTTTTAATTAGCAACATTTTCCCAAAATTATTTTCAAATGCTCAACATCACCCTTATAGTCTTTACTGCAAATTGCAATGGAAGGTTTTATGATTTGTGCACTTAAATGGCATCATCTGTGTGAAACCTGAGCAAGAAATAATCATCACTCCCTTGCTTAATTCTACATTCCCAGGGTTGAGTTATTTTGAAAAATCAAAACAATCAATTTCATAAAACTTTCATGAAACCAAAATGGGAAGTTACACCTAGTTCCACTTCTGAGACCCAATGCCCCATTCATAATCATCCCATGGAAACCTCAGTCTAAACTAGTAAAATGTGCTTTATAGGATCTATAAAAAGGAATAACCCTGCAGATGTATTCCTCAACCATCAGGCTAAGACAATCTACAGAGGAATTTAAAGTTACTGAATATACAGGAGGCTGTGGAACTGCCAATACCTTGCTGCTAAATATCTTGGGATATTACTTGGAATGAGATCAAAGCTGCCTTTAGTCATTATGTGATTTTATTCTGAGTATGCCAGGGAAATTAACAAGTGGGGCTAAATAAATAAAAATCTTGCTCACTGTGCTATCAGAAAATAAATGTAGAAATGTATATATATAAAGTCTTTGTTATTCTAAAGAAGAAAATGAGCTTGAAGAGAGCTCTGCCCGCTTCAAGATAGAGAAAAAAAATTTCAGCGATTTAAATCATAGAAAAGGCCATACTAAAGATTTTAACTGTACAGAAGTGGCAGAGTTAAAATAATGTTCGGCCAATACCATGCCATTTCGATTACTGTCGCTTTGTAGTATAATTTGCAGTCAGGCAGAGTGATGCCTCCAGCCTTGTTCTTTTTTCTCAGGATGTAACATGATATCACTTATATGTAGGATATAAACCTAAAAGCGACAAACAAACAAGACTAACAAGCAGAGATTCATGGATATGGACAATAGACTAGTGGTTACCAAAGGGTAGGAGGGAGGTAGGTAGGGTAAAGGAGGTCAAATATGTGGCGACAGAAAGAAATCTAACTATGGGCAGCGAACACACAATGTAAATATAAAGATGCCTTACTGTTTAAATGTACAGCTGAATCTTACCGGATTTCATTAACCAATGTCACCATAAAAATAAATAAATAAATAAAATTGAGAAAAAGAAATAAAATAATGTTCAAGATTATATACAGATTACTTCTGGTCCACTAGTTTAAGGATGAAGACAGCCCCTTTAGGATGGTATTTAGTTTAGGACCTTTTTGGAGAAAATAGTTAGGAGTAATAATATGGAGAGAGATTAAATAGAAACATCGAATCATTTTAGCAAGACTCCTCACTACTAGATGCCAATGTTCCTAAGAGGGTTAAAGGTGCAGATGCCCTTAGGGAAGACTGGCTTGAGAACGTCACGTAAGTGTCCATTGATTTGTGTTTGTTTCCTGGCCATTTTAAGCAAGTTTGCAATAAACTCACTTATCCCATTAGTTCTTCTTACAGTTTATTAATTGACATTTCTGTGGAATAAGTCTAACACTGAAACATCTCACTTCACTCTCTAGAAAGCACAATAATAATTAATTCACATCTATTTTGACTGCTTGATACCTGTGCCTTCCTGATTGTTAAGTATTTAGAATATTAATTACACTTGCCTGAAAGTCAATAAAGACATATATTGGAAGACAGAGACTATTTTCACTGCAATACATTGTCTACATTACATTACTTTAGCCACATCCACAAGAAAGGAAGGTTTCCACTGGGACCCCCAGAAAGAATACTGATTCCTCTACTACTTATTCAGTATTCTCTATTATTCTCTGTCACATCTGAAGTGGATGGATAGATAACTTTATCTTGTATAGTATTCACTATTGTACATCTCTGTCAACCTTCCTAGTCCTCCAGAGAAGCCATTAAATCAGTGGCATTAAAGATAGCTTCCTTTCTCCCAACCCATCCTTGACATGACAGGACACCAAATAACTATCAGTCGTATTTGGCCGACTGTTCACTAAAAGAGCAGTAGTAATAAGAAAAGAAGCAAGAATTATGATTGAGAGGAGTTCCTTAAGGATGAAAATTTTGTGCTAAATTTAAAGGTATAAAGTCTCTTGTGAGATAGAAAAAGGTATATAATATTATTGTGTTTTGAGATATTTCTAGGAGTTTTAATGCAATCTATTTCACATTCCCTCTCCTCCCCTCACTTTTCTTGTCCATCATGAACAAGGTGTAATACCTAGGTCAAGGGAAACTTAGAATTACACTGAAAGATGTGACCTTTTTTGTACCAATCACAACATTTATTCCAAATGCATATTTTCCATGCACTGATAAATTTATAACAACTCTTACTTGTTTCCTTATTTGCTACTTTTCTTATTTTCTTTGAATGTGACCGTAATTATACTGTCTTATAAGGTGTGAATACTGTTCTTGTTTGTCCTATGATATCAAATTGGTTTATGAGATCTACAAAACTTAAGGCAAATATTAAATGCTTCCTTGTGTAACTAAAAGCTCCCAAGAAGCACACACATACATACATAGGGTATCAATAACTTGAGACAAAATTTTTAGTGTGAAAGATTTGCACCAGGTAAACCACAACCATGAAAATGACATTTTACTTTAGCCTTAAAATATGACATCTTGAGAATCATGCTCAAGTAGATTATTATCTCTTCTTCACATTTGACTGACACCTTGACACAGAAGCAGATTATGTTGTCTTATCCTCCCCCTATTGGAGAATCTGTAGTACTTATGGTTCTGCGTCACTCTAAGAGTAAGTAATTTTCTGTCCATCTAAATAGCTATTTTTTATCAAGAGGAATGAAGTAATGCTAACATCAGGTTTGTGCTATTTTTAAGACATTTCAGATCTGACAAGAAAATGTTGTCAGCTTCCTCATGTTCATTCAAGTAACAAGATATTTGCACTGAGAACAATTTAACACATAATTACTTATGTTAAGGTTAGTTAATCCTCTTTAGCATCCTATACCTCTCCTTCACAATAGTTATCACAATGAGAGTAAATAAGCAATTATAAGGTATATACAGTCTCTGAAGGCAGAAGCTGTCTGCTTTGTTCACCCATATATCCGTAGCATCTACCAAAATGTCTGAATTATTGTGGATACGCAGTAATATGTATTGGGTTATTGAATGAATTTTAATAAATTTAAAGTACCTTTAACTCATTTCAAAAAGCTTAGTGTAAATGTCATTAAGTAAGTGTAATAAAATTTTTAAAACTTAATAAGCAGAAATTATATTGAAACCTTCAAGAAACAGAAACTCATATATTAGTCATATTCTTCTTTTGGAGCCTAACAGTTTATCCAGCTTTAAATCATTATTTTCTCATTATATACATAATACAATACTGTACATAGGTTTTAGCTAATAGGATAATGTCCACTAATAGTTAATACCTGTATTAAGAATTTGGAAAATGTTCAGCATGATACAAAGTATAAGAAATTAGATCATCTACCCTTTAATGTAATTCTTTGATGTATACTGGTGCTCACAGCTTGAAGAAGAAAATTGCTCTTATATAAAAATTTTTAACCAAAAAAAATTAGTATTAAACTTTACAATGTGTTAGACACTGTGCTGAATGCACAAAACAAATTGCTTTAACACTTTTATTCTAGTGAGAGAAAAGAAGAAAATATTCAACAAACAAATATATGATCTGTCAGGAGGCGAGAAGGAAAACAAAGCAGGAATACAGGGCCTGAGAATAAGCTAGAGGTGGGGGAAATATATTTTATTCAGGGTGGTTCTGGACATTGAACATTAACCAGTCCTTTAAGTTAATGTTGTGTATCAGCAGATTATTGAACTCTACCTGATAAAAAGAAAATCAGTAATGAGAATAGCAGCACTGTATGAGGCATTCATCGGCCATTCTTTAGTTCTGGATAATGTCAACTGTCATTGGGTTAAGCCAGGTTGAATCCAATAATGAGACCACAGATATTTGCCTCCCAGTGAGAAAAATTATAAAATACTATTTTGACTGTATGGAAAATGGTAGCTCACAAGTTTAACAGTGCAATATGGAAGAGTTTGTGCATTATAAATGGGTATAATGTTTCATTTAAATACTTTTTTTCTTTTTAAAGCCTTAAATTTGCAACCTACTTTTAGAGCACTATTACAAAACCAATTAGGCTCAGTTTATTTAACAGTCTTTTCTGCTGCTAAATAAGGTTGTGTGTGTGTATGTGTCTGTGTGAAAGTTCTTCTCTAAACCCTATCTTTACAATAAGCTGCTTCCTGGATATAAAGTTCCACATTCTACCCCTGCTCGACAAGTTGGAAATTTTAAAATATTCTGTATTAACTATTTACTAATGCTTGTGCTTTCTAAAGAGTTAAAAAGCATAGCTACTATAATCAAAATATGCTCTAACAGATGCCCTCATTACTTAAATTTACTTTTTACTACAGATAATTGACAATTCATTTTCTTTTGATTTGGGAATATAGGAAAAGCATCATAAGTAAACCCAGACCATTCTCATATTTCATCTTTACTCAGAATTTTCTTTTCAAAATTTGTAGGATTCTAAGTTTATTTCATGAAGATTTTTTAGGGATAGTTGCTATGCTCAGTCTTTAGTATCATTAACTGAATGTTTTAAATTTTCACATTATGTTAAACATTATTGAACTGGATCGAATATGGTAAATACAAGATTTTTATTCATCTAAGATAATCATTCCAATTTTGTTATAGCCATCCCATAGGCTTTCTTCATTTGCATCAAAAAGTGAAATAGGATATTCAAACTAATGTTTATTCATGTGAACATTCACACAAATACATACGTATGAATTTATGAAATGGAAGACAAAGTAATAAAAAAATCCAACAAACTGCTTAGCACCCAAAAGGTGGGAAGTGCCTATGCCAACAAGCATAGACGTCTCTTGCATAGGCATCCTTCCATCCAAACCACACTCTGCCTCATAATGACATCAAATGTGAGCTTATTTAAAATTCTTTGCCTGTGTCTGAGCTCCACCATCAGGAGGATGTGGAAAAGAGGAACCACAGAGTTGATTCCGGTTGGAATATGAGAAATAAAAAGATGTTAGAAGAAATGGCAAAAGAGAAGACTGACAGGAGACTTAATAAAGTCTGTATAGGTGATGGATCAAGAACCTGGATTCAGTACTTGGTCACGGGCCTTGGTTCTGTTATCCCATTTGCCACACATCAAGCCTGGTTACATCAAGCAACAGTCGACTTTTCATCTAAAGCACACTCCAAACCCTAATGGTCTCTCTTGCAAGAGTCCTTTTCTTACTTAATTTCATGACATCGGTTATAATTAAAAGTGATTTTATCACTCACTTTTTTAGTTGTACGAAATCACTGTGAGGACTGAAAACTATGAGCTACTGTGACTGAAAAACAGTTTAAATATCAAGCAGAAAAGTAGTAATGTGTCTTAAAGATGGGAAAAGCCTCACTTATTTCAATGTGCTCTCTCGTCTATTGCTAAAGGGAGTGTTAAAAATATTACCAAAGGGTTTTTCTCCCCGAGGTACATCAACTTTTTGGCACCGGTTAATGCTTTTTCATTACTTTTTTTTTCCAGAAGCCTTGGCTGCCAAAGGGTAACTCTGCATAAGCACATGTTTCTGACTTATATTCTGAATTCTATGATTATCATCATCCACCTGGTTGAAGTGGTACCCAATGGAGAGCTTGTGAGACAGGATCCGGTGAGTGCTGCATGATTTGTTTTTAATTTTATTTTTAAGGATATAGTACTCATAAATAGTGAACATGGTGTTACTGTTTGACTTAAGCAGCTCTTTGCATGTGTAATTATATTTACTTTTACAGTTAAGTTTAGGAAAGACTATCATTTCTATGTACTTATTGCAAGTAATTATATGTTATAGCAAAGGGCTAGAAATAATTCAATTATAACCAAATAAGAATTACACAACAAATCATGAGTTTTTACTACTAATTAAAAATTTATTAACATCTAAGAGAAGTTTACTGAGCCCATCTTGTGAATATAGACAACTAAGTGCATTAAGGCAATGCATCCCAGTGGCCCCAGTGTGTCACTAATGGGTTACAGGTATGCCTAGACAATCCCTTCAGTGTTCTGACACCAGGCTGGGCTTGGGCCAGTCACTTCAGCTATGAGTAGCTATGGATTTACTCTAGTAAGCCATGTAAATATCATCATGGTCTATATCTGCAGGACTTGAAAAAAGTTTAATGACTCCTACTTCACTCATTCTCATTTCTCAGTCTCTGCTGATGGAAACCCATTAACTGAGTTCACCTAGAAACCAGAGGGCAAGGAAGCCCTGATGGAGATTTACAGATCCATTTCTCTGGGCCCAGTGCAGTGGAAGCAGGGTGGAGAGTGAATTTGAAAGCACAAACAGAAGCTATCTAGCACAGAATGAATGGCCAAGGGATATTTTCATTTTTGTTTCTCTGCTTAACTGGGTTATGCAAGCATCTGTAGATAGCCTCATCTTTCAAAGCTGGCATTTAACAGCTTTGCCAACCCAATGACAAAAATGCGTGAAATCCGCCCAGAGCATGCATCCTGCGTGACAGCGGCATGGCATGGGAAAGCAGCTTAATTTGGCTTCTAATGGATCCACAGTGTTAATAATTTCTGCAGCATGAATATATCCAGAAAGACATTATGACCTATCTTTTAAAACCATGGCATCTGTTATCTGAGACAAAGTCCTGCCTTATCTGCAGAATGAGACCCAATGGGTTTACCTGATGAGTTTTCTTTCTTAATGTCAACTGATTTTAATAAAAGTAATCTCATTTCATTTAATCCTCATAAAACCCCAGTGAAGGGTACATATTATCTCCATTGCTAGCTGAGTAAACTGAGGCTCAGTGAGGGCACATGTCCTCCGTACTATGGATAGTTGAGATGGGATTCGAACCCAGACCTATCTCACACAGAACCCCATCCGCTCTCCTCTATACTACATGGTGCTCTTGGTTGTCTTGATTTACTTATTTGAGAAGACGTGTTCTTAAAGAAATTGGCTCAGCCATTCCAAAGTAATGGCTGTCTATAATTGAATAGTTAATTAGGGAAGCTGACTCCCCACTAAGTTTAAAAAGAGATGTAGAAGCAATTAACTAAGCATCTCTCAGCAGAGAAGACTCAAATTTTTGGCTTCCCATTTCCCAGTAAGTGCAGAAATCCTCAGAAAGTTATTGTCTGTACAAAACAGACCAGGAAATGGCCATTCAGTCATTAAATAATCAACCCTGGGAACAGTGCTTAGTCAGATTATGAGCCTTATAAATTCTTAAATAGACTCTCCCTCATCTCTCTTGTGAAGGTCTCACACTCACATGTCATACCAACAGAGCACTCTCTAGCTGTTAAAGTGTGGGGGCGCTTCTCATCCATTGTGAAATTGTACTAAACCTGTTATCTTCCTGAAATAGTATAAATTCAGGATTTTTCTAAGTTCGCTATCGAATTAAAGAAGCCATTTAACATTACCCATCAAACGAGAATAATAAAAACTGCCCCACTTACTTCCTAGATGTTATCCTGGAGTCCCAAAAAAAAGCATAAAACTTTTTTAAAATCCCAAGGACATAATATTGCAAGCATTGCTCACAATTGCTCACTGCTAATCCTTGCCCTTGGGGCTGGGTCTCTGCACGTTACTTTCCCAACCAATTTGTTACTCTAGTCATCACTCTTAATGGTCTCATGGGTTATCATCGCGGAATGTTTTCACTTTCATAGGGTAGTTTAGGAGCAGAAATGTCTATGTGCTCCCCCAATCACTGCATACAGGCTGCCCCTAGCCACCAACAAGCCAGCCCAGCTCAGCCTTGCAGCTTCCCTATTGCTTAGAAACCTTTAATATGCCCTGTAAGCAGGTGTCTCGGGACCTGGCTCAGCCACTGTTCAGCCAGTTTTCTGGGAGAATGTAAGTGCAAGTGTAAGGGAGTCAGAGAAATGTACCGGAAGTCTTCTTCTAGGTATAGAGGGGTGAGGGTGGCTCTCTCACACACATTAGGCATTCTCAAAGTGACCTAAGTTTGAAAAACAGGAAAGAAGCTTATCTTTATGACATGACTAGCATTTAGTTCTCTCAAATCAATATATTGTTACTATAACAGACTTATTTTTAGCTACGCAGGAGCAAACTTCCTAGAAAAAAACTATAAAATACTTGAAAGCTGGAATTTAATCCAGTCAGTCAAGTGTTTTTTGACTGCCAAAACTTAAACATTAGTCTTCAGAATGAACTAAATTCATATTTTGTGAAAATATCTACTGATAACATTCAGAGAGTGTGTGTGTGCGTGTGTGTGTGTATGTGTTTAATGGAAAACAAAGGAGCGAAAATTCTGTATGCCTAAATGAGAAGCCTCGTTTTTCCTGAGGGTAGACAAAATGAGAACAAGCCACCAATAACAGCCATTTACGATGGTAATGGGAAATGGGAAATGTCATGTGTGGACACATTACCCTCTTTCACATTTCAAATGTCTGTTTCCACCACAAGACAAAATTGGGAAACATATTCCTCTCATCAAATACATGTAAATAGTAAAGGCTAAAAACAAATTGCTACAATGACAAAAATTAATTCTTGTTTGTAAATTGTGAAACATATGCTTGACCCATCAGGAAAAAATTAGCTCATTTGTTTTTAGTACTTTCTCTATTTGACTATAGTCATTGTTTTCAAGTAAGTCTTTGTTAAATCTCTTATCTAACCATCCATATACAAACAGCACAAGACTAAGCAAACCAAATCAGATCAAGAATAGGCAGGAAAGAACCCTCAAGTAGACATATATGTTATTCATCTTTAAAGCTGCTTATTTAATATTTCCAAGAGAGACAGAGGTCTTGAAATTTGTGTTGTATCTCACCTTGAAAATGCATATTCTGCCATAACTGTGTTTATAGAAGCCAAATTTCATAGCTATCTTTTCCCATTCAAAAGATTGTCAAAGTGAATTGCAGCTGAAATTATAAATTCAGGCATCAAGAAAGAAGAAAATTTCCTTGTTGAAATATATGTAAACGTGCAGGGGATAAACAAGAACTAAGAAAGATTTAACTAGGAAAACTCCATCTCTCCTAGGAGTAAAGTTTTCTACCTCTAAAGAGACAGACAAACTAGTATCTAAACAATGAGAACAGTGTCATCAATATATTACCAAGTCACATGCAAAGTTACATATTTAAAATTTATACTTTAAATGAATTATTTGAAATATTGCATTTTTCTTGAAAAATTGACATTCCAGAAAACATTAGTCTGAAGTTCTTCATAGCCAAGAAGAGTAGAGACAACAGAGAAAAACCCAAGAAGAGACAAAAAAAAGCACAAGAATTTTTTAAATAGGAAAGTTTTTGGACATTGCCAATCTGCAAATATTGAATGAAACTGCAGCTAGCATGAAAAATATAACTACAGTCACCAATTAAAGAAAAGCACGTCCATTGCCAGTTGAAATCCCTGTGACTCAGACATGTGTCTACTTTTGTTAAAAAGTGGAATATATAATTTTTAAAGATACATTCTCTCTTATGCAAATTAAAGGCCGAGTTATGGGTTATTTTTTTCATTTTGACCCAATTCTCAGGTCACTGAATCAGCAGTTAAGAAGCAAAAAGATGTTCATTCCCAGTGCCCATGGGAATATATTTTAGAAAGTTATTTCTTGTAAAAGGTGCCTGCATCATCCCAAATGGTGTTGCACTACTTCTGTAAGAGTTTATTTTGTTGGGGGCAAAAGAAAACAGTGTTCTTAATCCTTAGTGAGTAATCCTATAGGTTTGTGGTCCCTTTTCCATCAAAGTAGTCAGTTTCTTCCCTTGGAAGTTTTTTGATCAAGCAGATTCTCTCCTGTAACACCAAGCATGAGAATCTTTTCCCTTCACATTCTTTTTTTTAAAAAAAGTTAAACTCAGAATAACTTATGGCATAAATAATGGCTGAATAGAACCTCAGTTTATTGAGTGATGTGAAAATTGCCCATTGTCATTTGTGTGATTTGGACATTTCATTTCCATAATATCTAAAATTTCATTTTCTTATTCTATCTGCTTATTTCTTCATGTAGAGAGTCAAAAGGCAGAATTAAAAGTATTGTTCTTGCTGCATCTAAAGGAAGCTGGCAGCACACTTGTCATTATCTAGAAAGAAATGTCTCTTTGAACTTTTTTCTGGGTCTGAAAGGGACAATACAGGGAGATAAGTTTTTACTGGGAACTTGAGTACTTTGCAACTCAAAAGCCAAAACAATAGTCACATCTTATATAACCTCTATAAGTAAAGCAAACGAATTACAAGTTCTGAAAAACAAAGTGAATTTCTTTTAATTTTCATTCATTCAGAATAGTTGAGACACCAGACTATGTTGGAACTTCATCCTAGTCACAGGAAGAGCAGCTCAAAATGGATGCTCAGGACAGAGACACTAGGGACTGATGACACCCAGGATGGCATGTGAGGGAGGTGACAGGGACAGTAGAGTTCTTGAGATGAGAAACCAACACAGATAAAACTAAGCTGGAATTATCCATTTTGGTAGCATATGAGAGAAATTAGATTGAGAATAAAAAGGTATGATGGATTTGAGGGACAATGCAGAGAGAATAATGCCAAGGTGTGGGCATGGAATGAAGTAGCCTACCCTGGTCATTTATGCTACTTTACTTTACTTACATGTCCAAACCAATAAATGGTATTTCAACCAAGATTCTGTGGTGCAGAAAAGTATACAGAATTTCTTTAGTCCTAAATTTTATTATTTATAATCAACCTCTTTCCCATATGGTTTTGAAGAATTTATTCCTAGAATGGCTAGAAGCATCAACCCAACTTCCAGCTTCTCTCATCTGGTCAGTCAGGTTCATACTCTACACAGGAAATCAGTGGCTTATAAATGGTGTCTTATGACATGGTTTATGTAGTGAGTCTTCATCTTAACATTGACGGCTTGTTCCCCTGCTTTGAAAAGGCTATCATGCATTTAGTGCAAAACTTCTTATAGACTTATTTTATTCCCAAAAAGCTTCCAGTTGGGACATAAAGAGTTTTATACACTTCTTTGGGGTATGTTAGTTCATTCCTAGAAAGCTATGGAGCAACAATTAGTTTGATGTTTGCTGTTCTTCGCTGGATTGCTCCAAATACTACAGCATTGTTCTTCCTGAACTATAGGATCTCAAATCCTAGCTCTTCTACTTCCTACCACGTAACTTACTCTGTAACCTTGAGCAAGTTACTTAACCTCATTGTGCCTCACTTCCCTAATGTGTAAAGTGAAGATAACAATAACACCTTCCTCACAGAGTTGTTTGTGACGGTTGTATAAACCAATATACCTAAAATCCACAAAACAGAGTCTGACACATAACAACTCTCAAATGTTAGCAAATATTATTTATAAAATTTTTACCATTGTCATTAGGCCTTAAGCACTGTCCTTTTCTAACCGTGGCACCCAGTTTCATTTCTGTGTTTCACAGCATAGCATAGGAGATGTGGAAACTCGGAGCATTTATAAAGTATTATTTCAATCTAAAAGGCACTAAGTGTAAAAGCAGAATGCAGAGTGTACTCAGAGGTCTGTAAATCACAAATAATCAAAAGGCCTATGGTGTTAGATTATAAAACTTAATCAGTCATGGCTTGAGATTCCCCAGTAAAGAGTCATATAATTTGCTCATTGTAACACATAAAGACCCTTGAGCGTAGCAAGCTGTTAATTTTTATTCCCCTGCCACATTTGTAACAGCTCTTCTTTTCCATCGCGTGCGTACCCTGCTTTTCTATTTACTGTAGTTTTGTTTGCTGAACACTTCCACAGTGCTTGCTTTGCCAATTTCTCAGTCATCTTCCAATGTTCTTATCTCAGATGGGACTTTTTTCTCCAATGATTTTTTTTTTCCCCTAAACACACCAAATCATGACTACAGTTCCACGGATTCAAGCTCATGTTCTCTGAGGCTTTATTAGAAATCAGCTCAGGATTGCATGACAGATTCACATTGAATCGAAAACATTATATCTTTAAATTCCTCTGGAGAAAGACTTCAGTCCTTCCCTACAAAGTTATGTAATGCTGACTTCCTGGCTCGAGAATTTTTCTCCTTCATTCTACTAGTTTTAAAGAATGTAGAAGTTGACAGTTTTCAAGTTGACATGAGAGCCTTTTGCCCTTTAGTTTATCAACTGCACTGGCATTTGACATAAAGTTATACAATTCCTCCTCATGAGGTTTTGGTGTACATGTGACTCCAAGTCAGGATGTTTTCTATTGCACTGTGAATCTACTGGAACAGAAAACTCATGCTCTTGAATGGTCAGAATTATCAGCACTGGAAGGCCAGTAAGTAACCAAAACAGGAGTCATCGGTTGGGTTCAGCATAGCTCCTGGCTCACGTGTGAGAAATTTTTCACTTGGTTATCAACTCTTTGCTGCTAAGAAGCTATCACCAACAAATCAATGAACTTCAGGAGTAGCATTAACAATTTCTAGGTTATTTGCCTCATTAACCATAGAAAAGGGGCCATAAAAATCATGTGACGAATCCTTGGATGCTCTCAAAAATTATGGGCATCAGACATATGGCAGGAAAATGAACCTATCTAGTCTATGTAAGTCACCAGAATGCAACTGGAAAAGAACACTTTGGGGACTAGGCTTCCATTCCCCTAGATGGCTGTTTATGTGTGGTGCTGATGTTCTATGCACTATCACTCTGATTTGTGGATACAGAGGGTGGCATGTGTTGACAGATGCTTGGGGAAACTGAATGCAGATACTTTGGCTCATTTTCACATTTACCTTCTGTTCACTGTTAGATCCTTGCCCATTTCTTCTGCTGCTTATTTCCATTTCTTTCTGACAGGTGAGCTGCAAGATTTTGCATTTTTTTCACCAGTACATGATGGCGTGCAATTACTTCTGGATGCTCTGTGAAGGGATCTATCTTCACACACTCATCGTGGTGGCTGTGTTCGCTGAGAAACAACACATGCGGTGGTATTATCTCCTGGGCTGGGGTATGTATTTCCTTCAGCTGAGTGTTGAGCCACCTTCACTTCTGTCTGTATATTTACAATCTCCTTCTAGTCTTAGTCTCAGAGAACCATCAGTGGCCAAAGTCCTTGAGGAATGATGTGACACTGGTGAAGACAGTTCAGTCTCCAAGACTGCGTGGTAGAAGCCCTTTAACAAGTTCATACACATTGTCATGAACGTGGGGGTCAGTGCGGAGATGAAGGGGTATGATTATGAATGTCCTCAGGTAACCCAGCTAATGAATGGACAAAAATATGCCCTGATCGAGAGAAGAGCTGATTAGGCTCCCTTCAGTTGAATCATCTATTTATAGAGCGAAAGAGAATTTTACATTTTGGATTCTGTTTGTCCTCCACCCTGGCCCCACTTCCCTTCCTTGTGAATACTCCTTCCTGTCAATACATCAGCAGGACTCCTCAAGTGAAAGGTCAGGAAGTGGAGTCCAACTGAGCAATAGACATAACCTGATGGGTCTCCAAGTAGAGCCTATCTGACATCATAGCATGTGGCGATGGTTTTGCAAAGCCTGTGGTTGGATTGTTTAAGCTGTGGCTGCTTCTGTACAGACTGACTGAGGTAGGTAGGGAGCTGAGGTCTGTGAAGGCTCTCTAGAATTACTCCCTTTCCCTCAGGGCTGCTAACAGTCTAGTTCACTCTGGTAGAAGAAGAACAGATAGCAAAGTAGTGTGAGAGGGAAAAGGTTCTGGGACAAAAATGCAGGCTACCTTACCAAAAAAGACACATCCCACATTCCACATCAAAGGAGGATCCTCACCACAGAGCCAGCACTGGCCTTGCTAACTGACAGGGCGACTATGAGTCCCAAAGCAGAGGCTGTGGATTACCTTTAACTAAGCCTGTCCATTAATGCATCATTTGGGGGAGCCCTGAAAAATATTGATAAGAGGAAAGATTTACTGAGGAGGAAGGATAATCCAAAGCCTTTCTAAGAACATGAACCTTTGTATTTAAACTGCTGCCTAACAGGTATTGTTGCCAACTGTATAGATATGTCTACATAAGTAGCCCAAAGTCTTTTCTTCAATCTACCACAAGGCTGGCCTTATGCAATATTTGTTTCCATAACACTCAATCTCTAACAGAAATACAGAGACTTTAACCCATCACATGACCCAAACCCAATGAGATAATCCTATAATAGTGAATCAGTTGGAAGACATTTGGGATAGCTCAACAATGAACTGATGGTGCTATAACAGAGAATAAGATGTTCTAATTTAGGCAAAAAGAAAGAAATTATCAGAATCTGGACTATCATTTGGAAATCAAGAGCTGAAACATAGGTAGGCTTACAAATGGGCTGTACCAAGAGATCAGACAACTAGGAGAACCCTCCCTCTACCCTTTGTCTCTGCTTTGCTCTGAGCATCTGTTTTAACCCTTCTCTTTCTCTACAAACCATAGATCACAGGTCTCTGTTCCCCCAATCATAATGGTAGATACAACCTACCCAAATGTTTCCTGAGTTCACATTTTTCTGTTCCAGCTACACAGAGAGGCTAAAAGCTTGTCTTTAAGTCTCAATTCTGAATGGCAAGGCAAGAGAATTTGATTGGTCCAGCTGAAGTCAAGGGGCCAGCCATGGTTCAATGAGCTGTGGCTAAGGATATTGAGGGGAATATTGTCACATAGTGCAAATATGTCCAATGCAGGTGACCTATCCAGAAAAAAAAAAAAAATGGGAGCGAGGTCTTTGTGAACCAGATGGCCATCTAGAATACACCCCAAAATACCTCATCTTGTGGGCCACTCCCCCCTGAGGAGCAGCATGGGCAGCCCCAGTATCCTGTCTTCTTAACCATCCTTCAGTAAAAATGAAAATCAAGCTTGTGACTCTCCTGCTGGTCCCACTACAGGTGTTAGGTTCTGTTCTTCCATGTCCTCAGAACAGGTCAGAATACAAAGGTCAAAATGGCCTTTCATTGTTTTTTCTCTTAGTGCCAGCCTTTCACACGAGGTTGATCTTTCCTTTCCCTGCCCTCCTCAGCCTCATACATGCATACATACCCTCTCAACCGTTTCTAAACTTCCAAAGCTAGTCATGCCAGGAATCGATTGGGTACAATTTAATCCCCTCAATAGCAATTTTGACCCTAATACAATAGTAATAACTGGTGCTGGTCACATGCCTTCCAATCGAAGGCCTGAAAGCACTATCTTACCGCAGGCAGGTATGCCACACACATGCACATACACAGAGACACCATTCGTGTCCCGCCTGTTTTACTTATTTCCTGTGAAATAAAATGTATGGCTTACTTCTTGTGCCAGTTTTGACTACTCAAGAACATCTAGCTGACACACTCAGAAAATTTTCATGGAAGAAAGTCTATAAATTTGTTCTCGCTTGTAACATTCAGCAGAGATGAGGGCACCCGGGAGGAACAATTTATACCGCTCTTTCCATATTGATACATTGTGAATTAATTATAAAACTCTTCGGCATCATCAGAAACAGCTTATTGAAACAGCTTATGAAGATATGCACTTAACACGCATAAACAATTCAGAGGAAAAAAGGAACAAGCTTCAACTTTTTCAAAAGGAAAGTAATGAAGATAAATAAAATATTTATAGGATACCTTAACCTTTCTTAATCAATAACACTTAAAGCTTTATCAGAATGATTCAAATAGAATCCTAAAGAACAATGCACTCAGTAAACTAACACAGAATTGATAATTTAAAAGAATAAGAAGGATTTGCACTTACATCGATAGACATTTGGAAAAAGAGATAGTCAACCAGTATAATTCTAAAATGTAATTATTTTTTAACATGCCAGTGCTATATCCACCTTTCTTCACTCCTCTCTCCACAAACACACACCCCAAAATTTCACCAACCTCTGGAACATTCAAAAATCGGTACCAAATCTCAACTTTGAGAACAAGATTGAGAGACAGCCATGATGACACGTTTTACACCAATAACCCTCTCTTAGAACTTTAAGCAAGCATTATATTTTGATGGGCAGAAAACAAGTAAATTACAACCAAAATAACTTCTTAAGAAGAATAATTTCACAAAAAGTTTAAAGAATTTAACAGACAATATTGTTATTGCTCTTTTGAAATTATTTTTACACCAAAAGAGTATTATAGGTCTTAAATTTTACAATGCCAAGAAATAAGGCATAATCTATGCTTGAAAAGTCTGAAAGTGCAGCAGCAGAAAACTTGGACCAAAAAATCTATGTCTTAAGACCTAACATCATTTGCAAGTGATGCACATCTCATCCGTTCATTTCAGTTGTAAATACTACTACTCACTCCAGGACCTGGAAGGGATCTCAAAGGATTCTAAGAGGCATTATGAATACTGTCTCTGGGTAAAGAGTATCTGGTGGTGAACCTCTCTCCATCAGAAAATGAAAGAACGTTTCCTTCAGTAGTTACTCCCTTACAAGTCTGCATGGGAACTCTTACTGGTCTATTTCTCTCAAATTGAAGCAACTTCAAATCCTGGTTTAGTTCTCAGAAAAATCATTTATTTCACAACCCTCTTCAGATTATTTCTTTGCCTTGCAGATTCTCCTCTCTTCATAAATCAAAGCGGGAAATCCCCTTTTCCCCATGGACTTTTGCAATGAGCAAATAAAATTTATCTAGTCCCCCTAAAAAAAATACTCCTAGGAACAAAGAATTACTCTTACCCTCATCATCTTTAGTAGGAGGGAAGTGTTGTTATGGCTCTTGGGATCTGAAGGAAGAAGATGAAGAAGGGGAAAAAAGCAAAGTGCATAAAAAGAGGTACCATGTGTAGAGGAAGGCAAAGAGCTCTAGGAATTAGTGGATATGGTTTA